TCGATCTGTCTAAGTTTTTAATTTTCTTTTGGCTCAATTGAGTCTATGCAAGAAGTAAGATAGAGCCGGACAGTGTTCTTGCTTTAGTGTTAATGTGAAACTTTACAAGAATGAAACCCAGCTCTGATGATGTCCATCGAATGATGGACGAAAGCTCAGCACGTTTTCACCCAAAACGAGGGAGGAAGTCTCGTTGACTGCGTCAACCTGAACGCCGTATAAAAGCCAAACGACTGCAGTACAACGAGATTCATCCGTCCTCATCTGATGAGATCGACCAACGAATCTATTGTTAATGCACTTTCATACGAAATAAAAGTCCCTCCAACAATGTTATCTCAACGGATTCATCGAAACCCCGTTTCTCATCGTATCGACAATGATGTTTTAGAGTCTGATAATTAGTTTTTATTTGATAAATGTGGATTAAGGCATAATGCAACATAAAATGTATCCAAACATTGGCTTTTTCAGAATGGACTGCTGTTATACTCTTGTCCAGGATGAGAATACCTTTTGAGAAGCAAAGCTAAGTGAAATTGAATGACATCGTGGGGTCTATTAAGCTTAGTTCACGATCAGTCGTTCTTCATCTTAAGCAGCCTAGGCTGACCAAAGTTCCCATAAATTAATAGCCTACACTGTGGACCTCTCTCGTCAGAGTCAAAGGGAGGCCTATACTGACATTTGATCAGTCATTTCCCTTTACTCCTGAACGAGATACACTGAAGGTTTAAACTGCTATGATTGCCCAACTATGGTATCGAGATTAAATAGCAAATATATGTTCTTTTTTCATCTTGTTGATGAGGTACAAGAGTAAGAATTGTTTGGTGAAGATTTTCAAGTTCGGTCCCATCCGATGGCAATGGGCTACTGAAACTTGAACAGTCTTCGAATAAAGTGAAAATGTACTTAGCTTTCCTTTGCCAGTTGTCAGAAAGCCTCAGAGCCTGAAATTATTTTTATAACAACTTTAGGGTGACATTTATTTTGGAGAAATAACCGACTCATCACGGCGAGCATCACAAAAATATCGGGCTTTCAATATAGGCGATATCTGACCGAGGTCGTCAATCGCTTAATTACCTATTAACTAAGGGCTATTTCTTTCTATCAATAAACCTTTTTAGATGTATTTGTGCCATAGAAACATATCCCTTACGATAAGCATTATTATAATTATGCTTTTCTTGCAAATATATGACCTTATGGGTGCGTGGGGCAGGTCATGATGTGCATAAATCTTGGGTTTAACTCACGTTGGGCTCAGTCATTCAATACGAACGAGAATTAAATTTCACTCTATTTTAAATAGAAATTCTCTTTTTAGAGGCACTGACGCCAGACCCTAATATACAAATGCTACCCATTCTCTTCAGCATTATTCAGTAACTTGTTGCCAAAGGCCGTCTAGAAGCTTTTGATTTAAACGAAAACGCGACACCACGATTTTCGCTATTTCTAGGCAACTGATGTTACTAACTTCGTTTAGAATTTGCTCAAATATTGAGTTGATCATGTTCATACAACCTCGGTTATGACGGATACAGTGGCTAATACTGAAAAAGTGCATTAAAGCAATAGGAAAGTATACAGTTTGCCGAGGGCTGACGGAGCAAATAATCATAATAACGGTGAAGTTGATGAGTGAAGGTATCATTTCGGCTCGGTAAGCTTGGCAGAAGAGATCCGGAAGCGCCGACAAAGGTGACTACTCCTTTAAAAAGACTCACTCAAAGAGCCACCCATCTCAAGCATATCGGAACCGACTAGAGTACAAATTCTAGTCAAGAGGAGACCTGTTTACATGAAATGTGAGTGAAGGATGAGAAGACAGCTCTATGAAATAGGAAGCTTAACAGGAAAAGGGGAAAAGGTAAGACCATAGCCATTCAACGTAATTTTTTGCAAAGGGTCTGACTTCACTTGTCACTCCGACGAGCCGTAGCTTGGCACTGGGGAAGGCCGGCGAAACGTCTGACAACGTATCCAATCAACATTCCGGCATTGGAAGAAAACAGGACAAAATTGCCGAGTTCTTGAGATGCTCCCAATAGATACAAACACCTTTCTCCCACTGTAAAACACAAGCATCGTTATACTTCATATCAATGTTTCCTTCGATATGATAATATGCAATCGCGGTCATCCAGATGGAGGATAATATGCATATATCTACAAGTTAGTCAGGCATTTAGCTGATTTGCTAAGCTTGCTCCATTTCTCAGCATTTGCCAGCCTATGCAAGTGCCCTAGCCTCCGGCAACATCTGATGCCTATTTAAGTATGGGGAAGTAAAACATTTTATATGCTTTTATGTACACTAAATTAGGACTTTACTATTCTTCTGAATTTGCTATACGTTGATTTATCGGTTGTGAGTGATGCAACCCAGGTTCTGCTGGCAGCACCGCATTTACTTCATTTTCATTCAACACCGTCTTGTGGAATGGCGAGATCACGCAAAAATCTTCTCATTTTAACGTCCTTTTCAGTCCTTCCGGTTTGGAAGAAAGAGTCACACGATCATTTGAACTCAGCGATTCATGCGCTTACCGCGAACTCGTGTTCACGAGCCGGCGTCTGGCTTGTAGGTGGTTGTAGACTCATCTTGCTCGGCCGGGTCGCTGAGACTGGCTCCGTTCTCGTTTCTGATGAACAAGCAAGCAGTTGCCTTCTGGCATGCCATTTGTATGACTTCATCATGGCTAGAACTTTTTATTATTTTCTGTTTAAAGAAGACGCAAAGTCAAAATAAAAAAAGAGTAGACCTTGCGTTTATATTGAATTTCACATAGCATTGCTTCTTAAAAGGTATTCTCTACACATTAAATGGAGAAAGGTCAGTTCATATCATTGTGGGACCTTCAACTACCAAATGAACTAGGCTGAAGACACCTCATATAAATGACCCCTTTGGGTATAGAAACAAAGAACTATGTTTCCTGACACCAGCCTCAGCCGTCTGGGCTGACTCGAGCTCTTATTGTGAAAATGCTAACAAGTTCGGTATGTGCAAATGGGACACTTTACAAAACTGTAGACTTGACATTGCACGAAAAGTTGCTACTGTTGTAAGAGTTCTCCCGATTGTGCCGCCTCCTTTTTGTCTCCCTGACCAGTGGAGCGTGACGGTTAGACTTGCTCGAGGCAGATGAGCAAGACCGGATGAAAGGAGAGACCATGACCGGCATGTATTTCGGCTCCATATACAACATGATCGATACCTTCATACCAGACTCCATGACATATTAGTCGTGGCGCTGTCCACCTGTGCCTGTCAAGTGGTCCCTGGTCGCTTGGCTCCACTGACGAACCGACAGATCGGCCGACCAAACGACCAACTGACCAACTGACCATCTGACCGACCAACAAGTAAACAAACGCACGGAAATGCATACTTCGTAGCCAGGGCTGAACAGTGCTCTTCACGATATTAACCCGAGTCTGTTGCCCGCTGTGCCCCCAAATTTCCCACATCTTTTTATCAGTTTACAGCCATCTGAGTCCATTTATCGTGGGAGGCAGTTACCTTTGTGTAGGTCGGTGTGTATTGCCCAAACCTCGGCCACACGCCCCTCCCCCCCCTTTCTCCTCTGTGTCCATCATTTTGCGTACCCATCCAAATGTCCAACGCATACACACCTGTATCACGGATACTAAAATATTAAATAAGCGAGTATGGTTAAACGTCTAATTTTATACGCTCCCCTGCTCACTATGTTTTCTGTGTGTGTATATATATATATATATATATATATGTGTGTGTGTTTTACCCATAAACCATGTGGCAGATCTTTGATAGAAAAGTCACGTCCTTCGTGCTGGTGCTCGACTGTAGTGGCCCAGTGAGGAACCATTTGAAGAGGTGGGAGGGTTGAGATAACTTTGGAGTTTGCTAAACGGAGATGAGTCGACCAGGGAGACGGAGAGAAGCAGGGAAACAATCGGTTGTGGAGAGAAGGGAAGGGAATACCAGCTCACGGGACTCTTCATCTTGTGCATCATCCTCGTCCTCCAAGATTCTCCACTCTCGCACCCCCTCCTTCTCCCCCTTACAGATAAACCGAGGTCTCTTGAATCTATTTCGGCCTATACTTCTTGTTCAACGATTGCCAATCGTTGCCCAATTCACTTCAATTCACGCATTCTTTTCGACTCACCCCATCCTGCAAACATCCTCAGAGCGTCCACTCTGATTGAGGCCCCGGACATTCAGGCAAGAACGAGACGCAATCGCCGCTAGTTACAGCTTTCTCTGCACACGGTCAGTCGTCGTTTTTGCAATTATATTATCCAAATCGTCATGTATACGCACGTTTCCATGGAAGAATAACTGAGGGTTACAACTTCACTTTTAGAGCAAAATAAATAAGTTAATTAGAGCGAATAACAAGAGAAGGCAAACAGCAAAGCATAAAGTGGCAATGTGGCGTAATGGTTAATGTGTCGAGCTTATTCACTGCACTGTCATGGTTCAACTCCCGCTGGGCCTGTTGATAAGACCTATGCGAGGTCGGAACTGCACCTTTTTTGGTACGTGAAATTCAATGGAAAACATCAGCTCTACTCATATCATTGTGGGAAAAATCAACTTCCAGTCTTTCTTCACCTAAAACGAAATAGGATGAACACCTCTCATATAAGGTTGTATAGACATAAAGAAAGTAATATGAGATGTATTTACCAAATTTCGTTTAAGGTGATGAAGGACTGGTAGAAGAAGAATTTTCCCACAATGATATGAGTTGAGCTGACGTTTCCATTTTATTTCACAAAGCCTTGCTTTGTCAAAAGTTGTTGTCCTGACTACCAGTAAATCAGTAATATGAGATGTATTCACCCAATTTCGTTCGTTTCCTTCATCACCTTAAACGAAATCGGGTGAATACATCTCATATTACTGATTTACTGGTAGTCACAAAAACAATACTTAATTCGAAAAATAAAGAAAGTAACTCAGAGCTTTCTGCTGGAGCGTAGAGAATTAGAGAAACGAAGATGAGAATAAGGTAGAGCGCAAGTTGGTAGGTGCGGGGAGAGTAGAGTTGAGTAGAAATTAATTGACAAGAATGGACCAAACACAGTTGAATGAATTTAATAGTCGAACATTTATCACAACCCTTAAAACAACTTCAAAACTGTAGTGGAAATAATTATGGCCAAGATATTAGACGGTCTCTACCATGTCAAATTAATGTCTTCGTAGGCAGATGTATCCATACTCCTTCTTAGAGGTCAGATGGTTAGGCAAAGTATACAAATTGGAAGTCAATTGAACAACGATTGGTTGCCATAAGTCAACCTAAGTGACGTCAATTTGTTTTAAGAGATTGGTGGTACTATCGAAAGCTTAATGATGTTTTTAATTTCATTCACATTCACCCAAAATATTACATTAAGCTCTTTAGACAAACCAGAGATGTCAGATTACGCAACCCCAGTTTTGCTTTTCCTTGGAGGGTTAAACGTTAATGACCCTTGACCGAAAGGTTATGACTAATGGTTCCGTAATTTGATTATCATGCTTAAAAAAACTCATATTTCATTATCCCAACCATACTTATCTACGAACTTAAACAGTCTCAGGCAAAGATTTTTTCTTGAATTATTAGGTCTTAAGGATCAGAACAGGAGGTTTAATCTTTGAAAAGTCTGATTTAGGGACCGTATTGCATATAGACGCTAATAAACACACAAATATGCATTCTCATAAAATCGAGCAAAAATAACAGAACAAATATGAAAGAAAATTAACCAAACCAGTCTATCTCGATCTGTCTAGATTTGTAATTTTTAATCTATTGACTCGACTGAGTCTTTCTAAGAAGTAAGATGAAGCCGGATAGTGTTCTTGGTTTAGTATTAATGTGAGACTTTTACAAGAATGAAACCCAGCTCTGAGGATGTCCATCCTATGATGGACGAAAGCTCAGCACTTTTTCACCCGAAAGGAGGGAGGAAGACTCGTGGACTGCGTCAACATGAATATAATATCAAAGCTGAACGGCTGCAGTACAACGATTTTCATCCGTCCTCATCTGGTGAGATTGACAAACGAATCTCTTCATCATGTACTTTCATTCGAAATGAAGGTCCCTCTAAAAATACTTAAATCGAAACATAAGTTGACGATTACTTGATGATTTAATTTTGGATGCGCAATCTTTAAAATGGAATTTCTAGACCTTTCTGAAGTGGAGCTTCTAGTAATTGACTCTGCAAAAGCAAATAAATTGACTAAAAATTGAGCTATGGCAGTCAATGAGGCGAGTGCGGCTCTGGAGAAATTGGGTTTGTGTCGATAGATTTGCTTATCATGATTCGATATCGTTCTCTGCAATTAGGAGTTTTAAGCTTGCTGGGCTGAAAATGACTTAAAAATGGCATCACAACAAATTGGCGTCCTATTTGTTCCTATTTGTTAAGTCGGGTGCAACAAGTTTGCTTCATCCACCGATGTTTTGTTGCTTAGCCCCCTATTCAATGCTGTGGAGTAATGCTCAAAGTTAAATCAGTTTAACTTTAAGCATTTTCGGATGCTATTATTATCTCCACAATATTAGGTTCTCTATTCAAAATTACACGATGACTGTATTTAACCTATTTCGTTTAAGGTGTTGAAGGACTGGTATTTAAATTCTTCCACAATCATGTTACTGGGCCTCACGTTTCAAGTAAATTACAAATAGCCTTAAGGGTGCCGATGAGTCCTAAACAAGGTCAAACCTGCAATCAACTTAGCCTGGATGAGAATATCGTTTAGGAAACAAAGCCATGTGAAATTCAATGGAAGCATGAGACCTACTCACATGATTTTGGGAAAATTAAACTGCCACTTAATCACTTTAAAAGAAAAATGGCGAATACATATATTTAATCAGATATACTGATAGTCGAGAAAATCTACTTATAAAGGAAAAATTATACGAATAAGTTTTGGTAGTCAGAGTTAAGCTGAGCGCTAGAGTTGTATAGACTAAGTAGCATGCTCTTTGGACCAGTTACCAAAATCGTTAAAATTTACATTTCACGCCTCTTCCAGTTCATTCCAATTTCTTCTTGGCATGTCCCGCAACGATAAAAAATACGGACTTAAAGTGTTTGGAAAATATTTGCTACCTCGGCTCAATCCGGGCAAAGAAGAAGAGGCATTTGTCGACCAATATCACCCTAGTGGGTATTTGATCGTCATGTCAACTGGTATGCTCCATGTCATCGTGTCCCTCCAGACAGATGAGACCGAAATGCCATTTTGCTACAGAAAGAGTTTATGGTCTAAAATGCTAACCTATACGTAGGTATGGGGTTCATTCGCCGCGTAAAAGCATGACTTGGCATATCAAGGATAGATCAAGGAAGGACAAGCAGTAGAATTTTTGGGATCTCGCTATGGGGATATAGAATTTCGAAAAATTGAATGATAGCATAACGCTTCAACTTCAGTCATGCCCTTCGTCTGTACCATTTGTTTTGCCATTTACAATAATCTAGTCCGTAAGTAATTACAATTTTCCATATTACTCAATTGTTTAGTTTACTTTTGATTTCGAATGAAATTGCGTAATGACGAGATTTGAAGCTCAATCTCCTCCAGAATGCAATGGCTGATCTTTACTGATCCGTCATCCTTTAGTTTTACTGAATAAGCCTTCTGGTTGTTTCCATGCCCGAGGCAATAGCTTTCGATTTTGGCGATGATGAACAAAATCGGGAATCCCTCTGAATGAAATAAAAACACAACACGCTAGAATCCCACCTTTTCCCACCCACACACGGCAGGATCATATACTCCCATTAAGACAGTTTTGGTGCATTGGCCGGTACCATCTACATCATCACTTTCATTGCCACATAAATAAGATTATCAAGACCTACGTCAATATTCGTAATCTCGGCCGCATCAGTAAAGCCAGAGGGTACCTTTGAAGACAGACGAATGTGTCTCACACGCTTTCCTCGCCATAACGACGTATCCCTTCAACTCCTGAGCTTCCTACCCTATTCATATACATGTTTCTGTTCGGAATCTTTAATTCGTCCTTCCACAAGTCTGACAAGTGCTTGTTTGTATCGCGTACTAAAATAAAATTGTCCTCTTCAAATGATTTGGAACTTTGTCGTTCGTTCAGCTTACCCCTTTTTGACCTACTCAAACCAATGTTATCCACACCCTGCCTCCATTATTTATATGATTTACTGAATATTTATTTGGCAGATTGGCTTTATACACTCACCGACAATAGAAGAGGCTTGTGAATAAAGGCTTAAGTGCCATCAAGCTGAACAATAGTGAATACCCACTTTTCGGAGCCTCATCTCATGGGATTTTATGCTCCACCTTTATTTCCACCCCAAAGTGACTCTCTCGCAAGTAGGGCCTCTACTTCAAAGTAGTCGCAGGTTCTGAGAATGTTGAGGCGTCGGCGACATGTGCTCGGACGGAATCACACTCCCAACACAAACGAAACGCGCACGCTCACATAAACAGCTGTATATACATGCATATACGAGCAAAGAGGAATCTTGGATTTTCCATAATCTTTTAAACAATGTCCAACCGCCTTCAAAATGGTTTCATATTCCAGTCAACTCTGCTACATGTCTCTCGCTCACCTGCCCTTCTCCAAGTAGTCTACGGCAGGAAGCCGACCCTTTCTCGAGTTCCCGGACCGCGAGCAACACCACCACCACCACCACCACCACGAATCCTGAAGCACTGCCCCTTTGGC